CCTGTCCTGACAGAAAAATGAATAAGGAGAAGTAGGATGGGCAGGTAAAGTTCTCTCTGGTTCCGCTAATGTTGTAGCGCGGGTCATCCCTCCCTGACACTGATGCTCCAGGGACAGCAAAGGAGCTCCTCTGGGAGACCGCAGAGTCGGTCACTGTGCAGCAAGGGCAGTTTGCCGAAACCTGGTAGAGCTGTAGGGCCATTTGGCCACGGTCTCCTCTTTAAAAGTCAGACATTCAACTGTTTGAATAAAGAGCAAGGCATAAAGTTGAAGGTTAAAAAAGAAGCATAGGAAGTTTGCTCATTCTTAAGAGCGATGGACCCAGGAACAGTTACCAGTTATTGAATATGAGCATAGTGAAAGGACGTCAGGACCTCAGTGCCGAGGGGAGCCCCATTGGAGCTCCCAGCGGTATTGGGAAAAGGACTTCTCCTGCAGATGGTGCCAGGAGCTCCTGTCTGTGCACTTGGCTAGCTCTGCTGGCCACAGGATTTCCTCCTTTTTACTCTCTGCTACAACTAGCAGTGAAGGAAGCACAGAGAGATCCTTTCACATACTGCAAGAAAGGACAAAGTCAAGACTGATCTCAGCCTCCTTCAGCCATGTAGTGCTTGAGCTCAGTCTAGCCTAAGATCATTGGCAAGGAAAAAAGGACTTTAAATTTTAAGGCTCAGGAAAAAACTGGTGTGAACTGCACTGTTTGTCTGAGAAAGATAAACTACTTCAATATGTGTTTCATAATTGGAATATTCTCTGCCAAGGGCTTAGCCATCTCCTTGCTAACACGTTTTTCACTTGTTTAGAGGAGAAATTCTCTTGACTCATAGGCAACAGATCACAAAGTCACAGCTATTAGTACTTATGCTAATGGCGGACTCCAATTCTGAGCAGAATTATTTTAATGAGCAGTGACTGAATTCAATGTTCAGATACAGTCAATCTTTTGCAGATTGTGAGAGACTGGCTTGTGTTCTATTGAGGTCTACTTTGAGTTAAAATTGTTTAATGACTTTCTGAACAATGTGATAAATTCTAGGGCAATCACAGTGCATAGCTGATCACTTTCTTTTTTTCTTATTGCCAAATACTGTCAAAAGAACGAATGGTACCGTGCTGGTTTGTGTTTTCATCATATTTTTTTCCGAGAGTACAGTCTCACAGAATGTGATTTTCTCTTGTTATTTATACTCTCAATCTTAATGTGAAAATTGTAGTGAAAGCAAAAAAAACCCCCTCAAAATTAACTAATTTTCTTACTCTAACATTGTTCTCTTGTGAATGTTATTTTTCCTCGAACAATAATGGAACCATATAGACAGACAGCCTAAATCATCAGCTCACATTCATTCAGATAAAGTGCTTTGGAATTAGATACTTGTGCTTGGAAATAGTTCTCACATACAGCAATTTCTACAAGTTTATTACCTGTAGTAGCTTTGGCCAAGCCATAAATTACTTATTTGAAGTGTTGTACACTGAACGGTATGCCAAATGTAATTCAGGTTTTATGTATTCTCCCCAGATAATCCCGATATAGCTGACAGAGAGGCGAGCGTAACGGCTTGTCTGTCATAAGCATTCCTAGCCCAATAAACTTGACAGATTGACAATTGTCTGCAATGCTATAGTTTGTGATCAGCTGATAAGTATCTGCTTATCTCCTTCCAAAGCAAGTGGCCAGTTTTCTTAACCTAGAGAGGGCTTTCAGTGCCATTTCCACACCTCCCACGGGACACTTTTATGCCACAGCACCAAATTTAACAAAACAGTTTCTCTGCTGGCTCTAGACCTGTTTTTTCCAGATGTCGTGCCCATCCTCAGCCTCAGGATATGTTTCCATTCCGCTTCTGTATTAGCCTTTTGTAGAAATTGTTTGATTATTGCTTTGTCTGAGCCTTATCTGATGATATATTGGTACATTACAAAGTGTATAAACTTATCTGTTCAGTGTTTCAGACCCCGCAATGAAAAGTGCGTTTACCTGCAGCTGTAGTATTGGCTTGACAGTCGTGCAGGACTAGTTGGCCCCTGCTAATGGCGCAGGTTTCCCCATTACACTCCTGTACGTAACGTCTCTTTTAGAGAAATTAAAAATGATGTAAAATGGTGGGCATATTTAAGCTCTGCACATTCCATATGGTTATATGTGTGTATATGTGTGTATGTATATGTATATATGGATGGTAAGTGATGCGAAGGAACAGCATCAGAAGCTTCAGCTGGATAGGTCTGTGAAGGGCAGGCAGTCTGGCGGTCAAAGGCAAATACTGGCATCTGAATGCCTCTGTCCTGTGCTGGCCTGAGGAGTTGTGTTCCCCAAAACATGAAGGCTGTTTCAGGAATCAGCACCAGGATGAGCTTACCTAATCAACAGTTAATCTGCTGCTAGAGAGAGAGGTGGAGGGAAAAAAGTTAAGTGAGCATGAACGGTTTGGTTGAAAAAGGGCGATGGAATTATCTGGCTTATTTTCTAAAATCAAAGGAAGCATCAGTCTTCCATGGCTATCTGGATTTAATTACTTGCTCTCATTATCTCTCTGTTCCTGTATTTGATAGAAGTAGAAACTTTGTGTCCGTCTCCAGAATCCCCATTTTTTGCTGCAAGACCAGATACTAAAATAAAGGTAACCCTAGATGAATATCATTTGTCAGGAGTTATTAATTGTGTTAGTCAATGGAGCTTGTAACATTTCAGTTTGGCTTCAAGTAAGCCTTTCTGCAGCATGAACGATTGCTCTGAGTGTACAGGGCATTTTTTTACGCTTTGGTTGGTTTACTCAGGGCTTAGTCATGTAGTTCCATTTGATTCTAATGGGAAGTACCTGACTAAATTCCTCTGCTTTGTAAGGTATCTTTTACCCATGCTTTGAAAAATAAAGCTATTATCTCTAAGTGGGTTTTGTAAATGGAGATCTGGTCTTCTCCTTAGTTTCATGCTGCACTTGCGTTAGCGCAGCCACAGGTTTTAATGAGCACAAAGGTTCACTTGCAAGCCCTCTGATCAACAGCTTTGTCAGGCTTCCTTTCCGGTTCTTCATAATGGTAGCGTGCCAGGAGCTGAGAGTGACTGGGCTCGCCGACATCAGAATCGGTTACAATTCATCTGCGTGGACTCAGATTTCTATGGCTGCTCCGATGACCATATACAATTTTAGATTCTTCTCTTCTTTTTTTTTTTTAGTGAAATACACTTTGTAGCTGATTTGAGAGTGAAGGCAGACGTTGGAGAGGTCGAAGCTTTACGTTTGCTGGGGCCAGTCGTCGCCTTTGATGTGAAGGAAGGGAGCTCCTGCCACACTGGGGCAATTCTGTTGGGCCAGTCACTGGCAGAACATACAATGCTTTTGCCCTCTATTTCTTTGTCTCTTCCTCCTCTGCTGCTTTGTCACATGCCGGTTTCACCTTGTCGTATACCAGCTTCACAAACCAAAGGCTCAAACATGCCTTGTGGATGGAGTGGAAAGTGCAATCAGAAAGCATGTGCTTTAAACAACGGCAATCTCAATCAGCTCATGGACAGCTGATTTAAGTTCCTAATGGGCTGATCTGGCAGAAAATAGGAACTCTTTCAAGGGATTAGTGTTTGACCCAGTGAGTCCAGTTAGCTTTCATATCAAATATGATTGCTTTACGTTTTTTTTTGTGAAGTGACAGGAATTTGTGTAAAAGAATATTGAATAAATATTGACGAACTAATACAATAATGATTGACCTTCCCATTACGTTTGTTACAAGTGTGCTCTGGTAAAGCATGTTTTATCTTTAAATTTAGCACTAATGTAATACCTACCACTAGGTTTGAAGGGGAAAGTTCGTGCAAATATGAGGAAAAAAAAAACCTTGGCTGGCTTCTTTCTCTATAGTTGAGTTCTAATTCACAGTAAGGGTGAGTTTGTGCCTACTTCCAGCATGGCTGCATAGAGTTAGCCAGATACTTTTGTGCCTGCGTAATGCTGCCCGCCTTAGGAGCTGAGGTGTGAGATGTACATAGGGAGCTGCCACACACTGCCCTTTTCTCTCCTGCCCAAATGAGCGAGCGCAAGGGGAGGATGTGAAGGAGACATCCAGACTGTCAGGAGGTAATCTCAAACTTTGCCAGCATGAAGAAGTGAGCTGTGCCCTTTGCAGGGATGGAGTAGTTTACTTCCCCTCAGGAACAAGAGGGGAGCAGAGAGTGAGTGGTGATTTTTCTGCATTTCAGTTAGGTCTCCTCTTAGAGGGCTCGTAACATTTGTGCCTGCCCCCATACAAGGCTCTGTCTCGAGGCGCATTCGAGTCCTAAGGAATCAAGAAGAGACTGTAGCCTTTTGCAAGTCTGACATTAGGAAAGATATTTTGTTTTCCGTTTCCTGATGTCAGTTGTCGTATCCATTTGGTGAGGATAATCAGCTGGGCGTGGGCAATCTGGTAGTTGCCAAGTGCGGCTAAGGAGCAAATCCAAGAAGAGACTCCGTGTCTAGCCTGGGACTTGGCACAAGCGTTCAGACCTTGTGTTAGGTGTACTCTCTGTGAGGAAGGCTGAGTATCACAGAGCGAAAAGAAAATGACCTGTATAACACTGACTGAGGAGACGTATCCTGTCACTGTGTTACGTTTGCACAAAGAACTAGTGCTTGGTCTGGACTTGCCAAGGGCTGACGAGTGAAACCACGTGGTTTCGGTAATCCTCATCGGCTTAGGGGGAAGCTACCTGAAGAATTGCACCACTCGGGTGGTAGCAGCACTGGATGTGCTCAGGAGCAGAACCTCAGCTACCTTCGGATGCTTAAAGTCAGTCAAGAAGCTGCTTTTCGGTTTAGAGATCTTGGATGCCAGCTAAGCAAACAAGAAGTTATCTCCCACCAGGCAAAAGTTATTCGAAGGGTTTTTTTTCCTGTATTTTTCCAGAAACATCCACCCTTTGGTTAGGTTGAGGCATGGAAAACTGGAGCCCCAAAGGGACATTATTGTGAGGCTTAAAAACACACGTTTGTCTTTGAGGTTCTAATTGTATCCTAGGCATGGTCGAATCTACCACATTCATAAGGATTTCAAGCTGTGATGTAAAAAGTACTATTTTGGTAAGCACTTGGGGATTTTTCAGCATGACAGATGCTACTGTGTAAGTGTAAGACTATTATTTCCTTATATATGTGGGTAGTTGTCTTTTTTAAAGTATTTTGACTTATTAAGACATTGCAGTAAAGTGGAATATGTAGACACGATACTTGACTGCCCCCACATGCATATTTCACCTTTAAACCTTATTACAATTAAAATCTTAACTATTCTTTTCTAGCACAAACACTCTGTGCGTGTAAGAATACATGTGACAGCGAGTAAGCCTTTTAGCACATTGCTAATTGTCAAAAGCAAGGATTAGTAAGAAATACATTTGCATTTTATCTCTAATATTTCCTTTCAAATTCTTTTTCTTGCAGGCACAGCTATCTCAGGCTTTAAACGGTGTTTCAGATAAAGCAAAGGAAGCAAAAGAATTTTTGGTTCAGCTGAAAAATTTATTGCAGCAGATACAGGTAACTGTAGAATATTAGCTGTTTGGATAATACAGTAATCAATAGAGCTGAGTGAATAATTTATTTGATGACTTTGTCTCCTTTGCTGTTCTCATATTTCCTGGAATCATCTAACCTTTCTCGAATGTATGTGCCAGACAAAATTATTCATCAAATAATGTCTGCAAATCTCTCTTAGCCTCTAGATTGATTGTTTTGCTGTTTATTACAAGAAGCTGACACTCAGTACTAAACATCTGAGCTGTGTTGATGGATATTTGATTGAATCCACTGGTCATGCGCTAGGCTCCAGCCTGACTGCAATTCCTTGAGTTGGGCGCTTTGTATACATTCTTGTTTTTACACATTCAGAATTTACTTTGTTTTTCATCTAACAATTGCTAAAAACGTGCTTAATTATGGATAAAATCCAGTCAACCTGTTTACTAGAGAATCTATAGGAAGTCAAAAAAGGAAGAAGAACCTAATGCTGCCAAATCAATTTGGTCACTTACTGAAGTAGAAGACATTTTCATGTGTATAATTGGACAGCTTTAATAGTCAGAATAGGACTCATGGTGAGTGCGGTAACTGAGGGCACAAAAACAAAATGAAACAAGTTTCTTTTTCAACTGCATTTAGACTCTTCTGTGTTGGAGCTCAAATGATCCCCACGTCCCTTCTTGTCCTACAGCGCGTGACTGAAATACTCTGCAGTAGTTTGAGCTTTCCCACAGCGAGCTTGCAGGGTCCAGGATGGGATGCTTGTTATCTGCAGATGTGCTCTGCTGCAGCATGGCTTCTGTGGAACTTATATCATCTGCTCTACTATATGCCTGCTCTGCTGGTTGTCCATCTTCTGTCAATGAGCAAGTCCTACTTCCGTTACTAACAGAAAGCCAGCAGTTCAAAAGTCTGTATTTGGTTTAGAATTTAGTAACTAAAAAGTTCCACTTAACACTCCAGATTATGAATTCATACCACAAATGCTGCCAAAGTTCTCAAATTGCCAACCCACCCTCACATTCTTCTGTGACAGTGCTCAGTGTGAGGGAGAGAACAATGAAAACCAGAAAACCAGTAAAAGAACATCTAATTGACAGAAACCAGCATGACGCTACCAACCCGTACCTGCCATATGACATGTTTTAGACACAGTGCAAGGTTTCTCTCAGCTGACTTTAGCTGTCTAAAAGTTAAATAGCTCATCTAACCTAGTCATTTAGGCTTCTCCAGTTGTCCAAGGACATGACTAGACACTTCTAGAGAGCTCTTCTTCCTATATGTATTGACAGTTATTTTAGCATGGGATAACTCATCCCAAAACAATAGTCTATCAATCACCAGTCTTTTCTTGAGTCACTTAGCTCCATTAAAATAATATATTTTTTCCCTCCTGAAACTTAAAGGTGGCCTATTACAACTATTTATGACTATGCTGTAAAATCCTTTAATGTGTTTCAATAAAATCACTGGTATATTGCTCTGCATAAGGGAGTTGCTACAATTAGATCAAACACCCGGGGAATTCTTTTTGTGCAGCTCATTGCTTAAATGCTAGAGGAAGACTCAAAAAAGGAAATTGTATCCACCGATCACCCTCTAAAATTTAGGTGTGTCTGGATACAAAGCTGAATGTGAATGTCACGTATTGAGCCAGTCTCCAGCATGAGTCTGAATGAGGACATCAAATTTCAGCAAACGAGAACATAAGGACTAATCAGCTATATATGCATTATTAAGTAAAACAGGGCTAGGGCATAACCCTGAGTGCTGGATCATGATCACCCACACAGTTTAGCTCTTAATGAGCTCCCTGGCACAGCTTTGTCCCATGACAAATGGCACTCTTCCCAGGTGATGCCTGAGTGGGATTGGATGATAGCACATACCAGGGATTACTCCCAGTAGGCAGGTTTCATACAGGCACACTATTTTAGGGAGAAGAGTTTAGATATGTTATGAGCTGATCTCTGTCGTTTGGCCTATGGGCCAGAGAACAGTTCTTGGGCTGTTTTGTAGGGGGGGAATAGATGTCGTCTTTGCATGCGGATTTATGTCCAGAGCCGTGTGTTTCAGTTCAGGTCCTGACTAGTAAATATCTTATTATGGTACCACACACGCACACAAACATTTATCCCTCAGCAAAAATGCCTTGGAAATGTATGTTTGCACAAAGGAGTGATCCATATATACATTTTATTATCCTCTTTCAATGCACAACAGAACAGAGAGCCATCCACACCCTTATTTTCCTCTCTGAGCCTTCCAGAGCTACAAGGAACTGTGCTTCTTCCTTGCCTGGAGCAATCTGCAAATTCATAATCTAATGTTATTTTTTGTGTGTGTCGTAGATCTGATTGATAGTTTCTGCTCTTTTCCTTCCCCTCTCCTTTGTGAGGCCACCTTTAAATGTCTTGGTCTACTCTTAGAAACTTCCAGCTCCTCATTGCTTCTGCTTCCTCGTTCCTCCTTGTTGCTGTCATTATCTGATTTTTACATTTTCCCATCTGCTGTAGCAATTTCACCCTTTCTCATTTGAAAAAGGCATACTGCCAAAAACCGTTTGATGTGTGAATAGAAAACAAGGAGAAAAACGCTGCACTACAGCCACTTACTGATTTAGGTTCTATACAGGAAACAACACTTCAAGAGTGGCTTGATAGAAATAAGCTTAAGGGGGAGCTTAAGGTGTAATATAAGCAGAGGCAGCAGAGACACAAACAGGAAAAATCTGCAGCAGACCTGTGAACAGTAACTCAGCTGTTTGGTCTCTCCGTCCCCCTCTCTCCTCTTGGTGGCAGGGGCTAGGACTGCCCCGGAGGCCAGGCCAAGCAGCTCCCAAGGAAGAATGAGCCTTCTTCCCCCAACTGGAGAAAGGGACGCACGGATCAGTGGGGGGAAGGGAGTATGGTGCTGAAAAATTTGCTCTCAAAAGAACAAAGACCAAGACAAATCAACTGAAAAGAAAAGCACAAGCAAAAGCTGAACGATGATAATGAGTTAGGGGTGTGTGATGGTTTGCTGTAGAGATGCTTCTCCTTAAGCATGTGTTTAAAATAATCTCACACTTGATACTTTTTTTTGATATGGTGGACTGCGAGGAAAGCTGATGGGACAACTGACAGTCTCCCGGAAAAAGGAGCTTGAAAGCTTTCTCTGTTTTCTATTCTCATGAGTGGACAAAGCAAGGGAGAGCCTCCCTCTGAATGAGTGTTACAGTGTGATTTCCACAGTAGTGAAAGTTGTCCCCAGGAGAAGGGTCAGCACAAGACCTTTCAGTACCATTTACCCACATTTTTATAGGTGCAAGTGAGATGCTACCCTAACCTAGCATAGAGTTTTATTATACTGTGAGTAAAAAAAGGCCGTGTATTTTTCTTTTAAAAAGCTAGTCAAATACATATTTCCAGGGAAGATGTGAGCTAGCTACATTTGCCAAGTGCTAGCTATTTTTAAAGAAGTACTTGAGGCAATACACAAAATCTCAAGATTAATATTTGTACCTGAATTATTTCCTGGAAATCAGATTGTGGATCAGATTCTAGTCCATAATTCTGTTCTAATTGTCATGGTGTAAAGCCAGTGATTTCAAAGGAGTTACGGTGAGAGAATTAAAACAGAATGTGGCAGAACCCTCTTATATGCATGCATATATGTATGCACAGCGTATGTCAAGTTTAGATTTTACATTATGTTGTATTAAGGCATCTTGCAAACATCCATTGTCTGGAAAGTACCAGTAAGTCAAGGTTTTACATGAGCCCATTTTGTGGCATAGCATCTTACAGTTTTATTTTATAGCAAGTGGCTGTTAATGGTACAACTATAATGAAATCAGTAAGGGAACAGAATACGCTACGATTTCCAAAGGAAATCTCTTCTGAATGGAAAACAGGTAAGAATGACTAAGAGCTTCACCTATAAAATACTCTGATGAAAATGACTCTTCTCTCTTTCTAGGAGAACGGGTTGGATTATGAGGCCTGTCTTGTTGCTCAGTGTGACGCCTTGGTTGATGCATTAACTCGTCAAAAGGCGAAACTGCTCACGAAAGTTACCAAAGAACGTGAGCACAAGCTAAAGGTGAGCACCTCTCTCATAAGCTGTGAGTATTCAGGTGAGCATAGCAATGGATACCTGGTTTTAATGTGCATTTTGTTAAGCCCTCAGCCCTTTACACAGTGAAAATTCCTATTGACCGAATCCTAAAGTCATTCATTGGATTCCAGTTTAGCAGTTTGGTGGACCTGTGCTTCTACGCTTAAAATGAGAGATACGCTTCTGCAATCTGCTGAATCAGGCCATCGGTCTTTATTTATTTAAAGTTTTTGGCTAACTTTTGAGAAGTGGTCAGAAGCGAAACCTGTGTGTGATTTACATTCTCAGTACTTCTAAATGCAAGGAATCCCTTCTGAGCAGACTAAAAAGAGTACTTGTCCAAGTAAGATTTTAGGATTTAGGTCTCTTGAAATCTTTGAAATCAGGCAAGCCACCCTCAGAGATCAACTTCTACTCAAAAGAAATAAAGGGAAAAGGGAAGATGTAACTGGTGGCAATCAATAAATCTTTAAACGGACAAATTTCTGGAAACATGGAGCTTGCTATGTGATTTTGAGGCATTATTGTGCTGGTAACAATAATATCTAAGGCATAAGGAAAAACTGAAGTCAAAAATCTAAAATGAAAACCAATGAGTAACATCTAGTAGAGGTCAGCATTCAGAAAGCTCCGTGCTTGGCAGGAACCAACGTTGAGGTTACCCTACTAACAGCACAGTTTATTCTGCAGTTTATGCCTATTCACCTATTATACTCAGAAGTTGTGCTATTTTACACAGAACTATTAGGTCTAGTTTACAGTCATATGACAGCAGAACCAAATCCAGAATCTGGGAAAGTGAGAGGTATCTGTCTTACTTCTTAATACTAGCAATGCATCCTTAAATAGAACAGGATCAGTTGTGATCTGTGAAGAGAATGATAGTTTATGATCTGCAAAAAATCACCCCATTATCCGCCTCTTCTGTAATACTTGCGTTTAAGTGAAAGATTTATTAAAAGCTTGAATTTTAGTGAAAGTTTAATTACAAGTGTGAATATTGCAAATGCAGAAACTTATTCTGTGCTCTTTCTGCCCCAAGCAAACGTGAGCTTTGAGCAATTAATCTGCTCTGAAAATTGAGATTCCCTCTGCACAACATTTTGCCAAACTAATTATCGGTATTTACAATACAGAGCAAATTAGTGTAGCTGATGGAGATGTGGTAATGCCCATATGGCAGCTAAATTAAGCATAGCTTTAACACTCTCTTCCATTTTTTGCCTCTTCTGAAATAATTTATGCAATTCACTGGAAGCTGAGGCAGTTACGAGAACTATACTGATATTTGTTTTCCAGGTTGTTTGGGACCAGATAAATCACTGTACACTGAAGCTACGTCAGTCGACAGGGCTTATGGAATACTGCCTAGAAGTTATCAAAGAAAATGATCCCTCTGGGTTTTTACAGGTATTTTCCTTTCCAGTGTTGTGGCAAAAAAAAAAAAGAACTTACAGCTAGATGTAGAAATGGACTGCTTCGCTAATTAGCCTGTTCCACCTCTGAGACAGGATCACCTTAACCCCTGTTAGTAATCTCTCAAGGTCCATCTAGCCTGGTGATTGTACTAATTCCCAGTGAAGAGAAGTCAGTCTTCAAACAGTCCCACTGACTGGGGCATGGAATTAGCATGGCTGGCTATCGAGGTGGTAACTTGGCACAAAAACACACTACTGGCCACCTCATGTGAGAGGACTCACCCAGATGCACTGTCTCCCTGTCCATCCTGCCCCTTTGCATAACACAAAAAGTCCAAGGCAGAAGCAGGAAAGGTAATGAGTAACAGGAGCAGGTGGGACAGAGGCAGAAGGGGCTTCTAAGTGAAATGGAATTGATTCATATAGATCACATATGTGTATAATTGTGCTGCTGCTGAGTTTTGGGGTACATGGGTTATATCTGTGGCAATATGGTGTGTAATAGTTGTTAAACAATTCCAGTGTTCCTATATTCTCCAGTGGTCATTTCAGAGAAAGTGTGAAAAAGGTCTGTATAAATATGCAAGTTTCCTGTAGGCAAAACTGTCAAGAAAATGCTAGAATTCTTCAAATTTAGAAGCTCAGATGAGACGAGTGTTTCACCACAGTTCTGAAATTGATTTAAGCATATTTTTACAACTGGCAATTTAGAAGTTTGCGGGTTTACTTCCATACTGAGAATACATGTGGCTTGAAGCGATAGATGGTTCAAAGGCAACATTGGAAGGAGAATAAAATGTCACAGTGCTTATGAACTTAATGATCTGTAAAGAGCCGACTTAAATAATATAACCCTCAAGTATACCAATGCTGATATGACTTTGTGGATTCTCTGTTTTCTTGTCACATAATATATAACTTATGCCAAATTGAGAACGTCTGCACAATATCATCTAAGGTCAGAACTCCGGAAAGCACATTTAAGCACATACTGAAATTCAAAATGATCCTGGAAATTACTGAAAATACTAGTTTTCAACATGTGGATTTGAATGTCTGGGCATCTCTGGTCTACTTCTAATAGGCTGATGAAAGGTAACTGCATAAAGGCTGTTGTCAGTGCGTGAAAAACCTCTGCATAGGTAATTAAGGATCTGCAAAACAAACAGGTGTGGAAACCAGTGATTTAAACATGCATTGAACTTAAGCCTAATTTTTTCCCCAACAAACTTCAGTGGAACTGAAACACGTGTTTACGTGAATAAGGACACTTTCTTGATTTAGACCCAAAATCTTAACATGGTCATTGACTCTAGCTGAACTGAGCATCATTTAGGCAGCTAGACCCCTCTGCAACTAGATGAATCAGTGAGAAACTTATATTTTTTCTGAGAGTTATGTTTTTTTCAGTGTTGTTCAGATAGAAGACAATTTGAGCCCTTTGAGCCAGACAGATGCTTTGGGCAGCTCCCTTCCCTGGAGAAACACAGCTTGAATGACAGCAGAACTGCCAGTCCCTCCTGCTCTGAATGTATAAAGGAAATATCTCATTTAAGCAAGTCAACAAGTGAAGCTGTACAAAAGGAAAAAACGAAGAAGTGTTTTAAAAATTAAAATGACAAGGGATGTCAATGGGAATCTTCCTAAAGAGTTAGAAGCACCTGGGCTGGGACACAAAAGATCCAATCTAGCCGTCCTGCAGAATCTGCAAGAGTCCCAGACAGGGCGATGCTCCAGGACGTGCAGCCTAACTCTTGCTCATTTTGTTACATGAAACACACATGTTAAACCACATAGAGGAGGCACACTCGCTTAGCTCACACAGCCGGTTACAGCTTCTGGGAGCTAGATCCCACCATCTTTCTTACTGCAGAAGTCTTTCCTCTTGCCAGCCCTTAGTTCTGGTCCAAAATATTTCCTTCCTACCCGAAAACACAACACAGGACCTAGTTCCATTTCTGTTTCTTTGAGAAGAACAGTAGTACTTCTCTCCTTTGCTTCAACACGTGAAAGAGTTCTTCCAGCATCTCTCCTATAGGAGGAAATACAGCCTTAAGGCCCTGTGTGTAGCTTTGTTTCACTGGAGTAGTTGCACCTCATAGGGATATAAGACAAGTCTTGGAGTAGAAGGTGCCAGGTACTCGCTCTTTGCAAAACGTGGCCAAAATTGCAGGATATTGTTGCTTATATGGAAACTATTTCTTTTTGTTCAATTTCAACTGCATTAACCTGAAGGTATTATTCAGCGTTTTCTGCAGCGGGCTACTCACTGGAGTTGTGTACAGAAGTTTGAAGAGTTTTTAAATGTGTGCAAGGCCCAGTGGAGTATGCCTCAGTAAAAAATGAGTAAGATTTTCAGGGCTAGGTCCCGTGTAAAACTACAACATGATAGTTGTCTTCTTTACCCCTTGCCTTTCTCTGACTTGGTTCCAGTTGCTACTCAGTCTAGCTTCCAGACAGAGAGCTGTAAGAGACTGCCATGGTTACTATTACCCAAATGGGGGAGGAGATGGGGCAAGCAGTGAAATGGCCAACTGAGGTAAAATATAACAGTTTTACTGCCTAATTCATTTTGCCTAATTAATTTTATTGCTTTATTTAATTAATAAAATTAATTTCACCTTATTATTTTTACCGCCTTATTAATTGCCTAACAAGAAAGGCACATCAAACAAAACACTGTGTGTGTGTGGCTGTCAGTTAAACAGGGCCTGCTGCACACATGCATGCGTGTTAGAGGGTTGTCACAATATCCCTAAAAAACAGGATGAGAGTTAGTCAACTTAAACCTATTATCACTCCAGATTGACTGGTCACTGTCATATCTGGTCTCAAAGAGGAGCTAGGAATGTGTGATGTATATTAATCTCAAGGCTACAAAGTATTTTAGCAGCTTGTCAACTGGATACTACAGGGCAGATGAAACCTTATCTGCATGCTAGTGAGGGATGTGCTTAGTTTTCATTTCAGCTTACTTTTCTTAAAATCTTTGTGACTTCACTCTTTTCATTCACATTTGATACAAAAAACACTTTTGTTTTTACTTTTTCCAGGTTTATCTAGTGGTGATTTCAAAATAACCAGCAAACACGGAAGCATTCTGTTACTTAGAGCAACTGTTCTTGCAACAAGGGTGTTGAGATACGGCCAAGGGATCCAGCACCCCAGTAGCTGGCTCCAGGGTTGTAGAGAGGTTGTAAGATGCTCCTCCACTTACTGCACAGATTGTTTAGGAGCTGTTGATGCAGGGGCCCAGACAAAAGTCTCTTCCAATAAATAACAGTTGTAAGGGAGGAGATCTGAACTCTTGCAATAAAGAAAAATTCTTCTTTCTGGCCTATACAGAAGAATATTCTGCTATGATATACAGGACGTTCAATGGGAAGAATTCCAGATATCCAAATGGCTTCACAGAGTTCAAGGACAATTGAGTCCATAGATTTCCACAGAGACAGGGTTTCACTTGCAGAAGAGTCCATTGCGACAGTTTTAGTCTGACTTTTCGCCTAATTGTCTGTGGGCGGAGGTAGAGCAGAGTTTTAAAAGTGGGATTCAGTCGTGATGGAATGATAGAAAATCCATCATAGTCTTTGGCAGTCTGTTCTGACAACTTCTCTCTCTCACTCAAATATACACCTTCTTTACCACTTGACTCTTTTCTTGCTTCAAGCTTTCATCCACTGAATCATCTCTGCTAAACGGAGAGACCCTCTAACATTTAAGCCTCACTTTGTGCAACGGCTTTCTAAAGAGAAGAGCAAAACCAGACTCTGCAGATCAGAGAACAGAGTTCAGAAGCATATGTGGCATTCAGAGACATGATATCTAACATAATCTTAACGTTCCTTGTAAATGCTGTTTTTATTTTCCTACTCCTAAGATGGGACTTGTTTTGAAAAGATGTGACAAAAGGATACAAGATAAATGGAACTCACCCCAAAACTGTCACATCCTCTTTCAACTACATTATCATATTCCCAATCTCATTGTGCTGTATCTATCTCACAGGCATTCTGCCACTTTTAGTGTGTTGCAATGTGCTGCTGCATCTGCAATCTTATGAGCCTGCTACTCTCTTTCAGATCTCGGATGCTTTAATCAAACGTGTTCAAGTATCTCAGGAACAGTGGGTCAAAGGCGCCTTGGAACCGAAAGTGTCTGCTGAGTTTGACCTGACTTTGGATAGTGAACCTTTGCTGCAGTCGATTCACCAGCTGGATTTTATTCAGATGAAATGTAGGGGTGAGCTTTTGTGATTCATTTTTTTCCCCCCTGTTTTTCATGCATCTTTCGAAACAGTGCTGGGAGGAAGTGGACCATAGAAGGAGGAAAGAGGAATGACTTGTAATTGCTGGATAGTTTTCCAGCAAATGCAAGTTACCAAGTGTTTGCTAAAGCGATGTGCTGACTTCACATGTAATGACCCGAACAAGCTCAGACAGTGATATCAGGTGCAGTTAAAGATTTGAAAAGGTAAATTCTTCAGAGCAGGACCATCTGACAGCTCTGAAGATGAAAAAGACATTAGTTGCATGAAGCTTTATGCCATTTTGTAGCATTCTTACATTCAACACAGTTAATTCAAAATACCCGTTACTGCTGTCTTGTCAGGAACAGCTTAAGTGGTAAATAAATACTTCCCTAACACGGGAAGAACCTCTGTTTCTTATATCCAGACTGTGCTACAAACCGTGCCCAGGTTAAAAAATTTGGGAGGCAGAGAATTACAAGGGAAAAGTAGTTTAACAACAACTTGATTCCATATCGGAATGATCTCAAGGGACACAAAAAAGGAAGAGGATGTTAAGAAAAGTGTTTAAAAGCAGAAGATGCCAAACAGCAGATGCCATTTGCAAAATAATAATAATAATAACAACAACAACAACAACACTAATTGTGCAGTTGTCATATGTTTAGTTTATATGGATCAGGATGTCAACCTTCATCAGAATTAAATAGACAGATACATAGACTCAATGGTTTTTAAGCCTACTGGGAATCATGCCATTATCTTCACTCACTGGTGATTCAGGCCTTAATTATGCATGTGGGTGACTGGGTAGAGGCTGTCAAAAGTTAATGAATGAGTTAAGGCTAACTATGTTGTGGTGTTATTTTTTTTCTGACTCCAGGTAAACATAAAGATTTCTGTTCAGTTCATCTGTTCTCTCTGGGCCTAAATCTGAAACCAAGAGGCCCAAGGTGAAGTAATTGGAGCGGGTAATTTGCCAGATAAATCTGTAGAGAAACAATGGGTAAACAGTTAAAGGCCAAAGTCTACTCACCAAGAACAGTTTGCATGTCGGCCTAAATGGGTTGTATTAAAGAAGTTACTCTAATAACATTTGTGAACAACATTTGCTCTTCTGAAATCTTAACAGCCAGGAAGGCAGAGAGAAAAAGTACAGCTGATAAAACTTTTCTGAATACTATCTGCAGTTATCTGTTTAAATCAGTTTAAATTTAATACTGGCTTACTTCCCATGACTCTCCGTGCCAAAGATAAAGAATTTAACTAAACTATCCACTTGGGATTGCTAATTAATAGCAGGTCACTTGAAGTGAGAACATTTTAGATATTTGCTTTTGGGCATTCATTTGGCTTTAATGCTTGAAGAATTAGGGACTTGCAGTGAGCTGGATTCACTGGAGCTTTATGGGGGCAGTAGTGCTGTCTGCTGACATTCCTATGTATTATATGAACCCAGTTAAGCTGTAGTACTGAGCTAGACACAGTCTTAGATGAAGAGGCCATCTGACAGCTTTGAAGATGAAAAAGACATTAGTTGCATGAAGCTTTATGCCATTTTGTAGCATTCTTAGATTCAACACAGTTAATTCAAAATACCCGTTAATGTGTTCCAGGTTGGTTGTTCAAACAGCTGGAATTGTCATGCAAGCTTGGTTTGTTGAAAAATGAAGAATAGGTGCAAATGGTTGCCATAAGTTCAGACATGGACTGGCCACTCTTTTCCCAGGTTCCTTTCTTCCTCTGCAAATCCCTCCTGTCTTGTGACTCAGTCCAGGGTTAACCTTCTTGCCTTGATTCCTGCCATAGCTCTTTTCACAATACCCTAATCTATTTCAGAGACACTGCCACACATACACTACAGCCTACAGCTACTCCTTGAAGCAGCATGGAATAGCAAAAAACCCCTTCCCTACTACTTTGCTGCATCACCTTCGAGTACCCACTCGTATACTCCTTCTAGTCAGGCAGGACTCCTTCCCCTCTTCCTCCCTGAGGATTCCCCAGACACATCTCCCGCAGCGACTCCTCTCTGCTTCTCCAGCCACAAACTGCGCAAGGCTAATAATGAAAGAGGAACTGTTTCACAGTAGTCTTTCTCCCTAGTTCTGTCTGGTTTGCATCTTGAACACGGGTCTTTGCCTGTGGGCTTTCCTTCTCTCTTAATAACACTGTAGTGTGCTTGCTACAGCAGTGACTCAGGATTGACCTAGCCGAACTGCGATTTTGGAGAAGATCAGAGGTTACGTGCTTGTGAGGGTCCTGTTCTTTCACTGCATATGATCCTTTAAAAATTAATCTGTGAGGGAGAGTGGAGGGCACAACTTCCTCGACAGGCTGACAAACAGATAATGAAGCCTTAGAATAGCCTGCTGTACCCTGAGAGGAGAGTGGCTATGAGATGCATTGAACAACGTGCTTTTAAACTGCTGAGTTGACATGAGATATCAATATCATATTCTCAGCTAAGGGTGACCTGCATGAAGCGCTTTTATAATAGCAGGACATCATTAATCAAGCTCCTTAGTAGGTCTGGCTATGCCAATGCAGCATCATTCTCCCTTTATATTTTTAATCCTTTCTTTCAAAAACTCTCTAGAGGACATTAAGTTGCACAAGAAGTGGGACAGTGCTATAATTTAACATCTGAATCTTCATTTTTGTTCTGATAGTTAGCCTATATTTTTCTTTTCTTAGGACTGTCGCATTGCTGTTCGCTATGAAGCATATCTCTGTGTCCCAGTTATTCAACTCCCTTTACACTTTCCTTTGACTTTTACAAGACTTCACCCCCTCCCCTCCCAGAGGGAATCTGAGGTCAAGGTAAATCTCTGCCCATCCCTGTCTGGCCACTCTGGGAGGGAGGCAGGAGGGTGTAATCCAGCAAAGCTGGACAGGTGCTCTGTGGGAGTTTCTTACCCCTCCCTGAACTACTGTGTGGCCATGCAGTTCAGGTCACAGGCTGGACCAAAGTGAGTAGGAGGTTGATAAGGATTACTCACAAAAACTGAAATGTCCGGTGACAAATTAAAGCAGCCCAGGTCTTCCCCATAATATCATATACATATATATAGGGCCAAGTTTCATATTTTCTTCAGGAAATGGGAGTAACTGGATTTTAAAGTACAAAAACATATTCTAATCCTGCATGACATTCCTG